TTTTTTTACTATATATAATATTTGCGCAACGATAATAAATGATGCCAATACTGTCATTGAGAGTTATAAAATTCCAGTGTTAAACACGCAAACTTTAGGCATAAGATTCGCTAACTTTCAATGCTTTTAATTAAAAAACTGTTATAGCCTCGACATTTTGGTATTATCATTTTCGTTTTAAAATAATTTTAGAAATTTATCGTTAAGCATTGTTATCATCTTTACCCTAATATATATCCGACATTGGATAATAGTATATTTCACTTTCTTGTATTCCTTTCAAGGAAAAAGTAGAGGATGCATGCTGTGCTTTAGATGCTATGTGTATCGCATAACAATCAATATCATATTTTTTAAATAAAAAGAAAAAAACAACATCAAAAGAAAAAAAAATAAAGATAACATCAAGCAAGTTTACAACTTCTTTACCATAAAGCATCAGCTCTTCCCAGGTTGGAAGTGTCTCTATATATAAACAATTTAAGTTTTTCGTTAATGATGCAATGATTTCTATTTTATTAATCAATTAATGATTTCTATTTTATTAATCAATGTTTAAATAGAGATATTATATCACTAAAGTCGTTAATACATATTTCTTAATAGTTAATTAGATCGGAAATGATTTGTTATGAAATATAATCGAGATATATGAATATACTATATGCAAAAGAAAATGTAATCTGTACCTTGTGCTCCAAGCATAGTGGCTTTTACTGTAGACAGTATTTTCAATTGTGTTCCAATAGTAGGTATACGTTCGCAAACTTGGAGAAGATTCTAAACAATTATTACAATAAAATTACATAAAATTGACACATAAATTGTAATAAATAATGATATTTTAATAAAATTGATATATGTATATAGCAATAATGTACGAACCGTTCGAATACGTTTATCAGTACATTCCCTGGCTAGTTCCTTTGCGAGACGTGTTACTTCCTGAGAAGCTTCTGCAATAGCTTTGGCACATGCGATAAGATCTCGTTTATTACCACCTTCACCTCTAACTAGTCCCGATAATCTGCCCATTAAAATAGCCATCTTCTTTGCTGCGGCAATAATTTCGTTATCTTTGCTGGACCATTGTCGTACTTCTTGATGTAAACCATGAGCGGCCATCTATACAATAGATTTCATAATGTAATTCCAGTTCATGTACGTCGTACACGATTTTTGTTCTGCAGGCAACCTGATTTTACGATAACAATGAAAATAAGAACGACCTTCAATGGCCTTGATCTTGAAAAATGTTATTACTGTTATCATGCTCCTGAACAATATTCAAGATATATTCCTCTTAAAAATGTATTCTTGAAGTAATGTTGGGA